GATACCGGAAGCAACTTTTTCGTAACAACCAGTAAAGGTAAAAGGGTCGGGAAAACCGGATTTGTCGAGCAGAGATCGTTCCTGAACTTGTTTAGGAGCTTCGATAAGCTATGGATCATGTTAATTTTGTTTCTACAGGCTGCAATTATAGTTTCCTGGAAAGATCATCATCCATGGCAGGCGTTAGGGGATAAAGACACTCAAGCTAGGGTTCTGACAGTTTTCATCACTTGGAGTGTACTACGCTTCATACAATCTCTTCTCGATGCTGGAATGCAGTATAAACTAGTTTCTCGAGAAACATTATGGCTTGCCGTTCGTATGATGTTGAAGATCGTCGTTTCCGCCGCCTGGACCATCATTTTCGTGGTGTTTTACGCCAAGATTTGGAATCAGAAAAACAACGATCGCCGGTGGTCTGCCGCCGCTAACAGGAAAGTCGTGACTTTTCTAGAGGTTGCTTTCGTCTTCATCACCCCCGAGCTTCTATCCCTAGCTCTCTTCGTTCTCCCATGGATTCGCAACTTCCTTGAAAACACAAACTGGCGAATCTTTTACATAATCACATGGTGGTTTCAGAGCAGAAGCTTCGTCGGCCGTGGACTCCGTGAAGGTCTAGTGGATAACATAAAGTATTCTCTCTTCTGGATCTTTGTTCTCTCCACCAAATTCATCTTCAGTTACTTCTTACAAATCCAACCAATGATCCAACCCACAAAAGATCTCTTAAACCTTCAAGATGTAACATACGAATGGCACCAATTTTTCGGAAACAGCAACAGATTTGCAGTCGGGCTTCTCTGGTTACCTGTGATCTTGATTTACTTAATGGATTTACAGATCTGGTATTCAATTTACTCTTCCATTGTTGGAATGGCAGTTGGATTGTTCAACCATTTGGGCGAAATCCGAAACATCCAACAACTCAGACTCCGATTCCAGTTCTTCGCAAGTGCAATGCAATTCAATCTCATGCCCCAAGAACAAATGTTAACTTCACGAGGCTCTCTCAAGACTAAATTCAAAGACGCTGTTCACAGATTGAAATTACGATACGGGTTAGGGAGACCTTTCAAGAAACTCGACTCGAACCAAATCGAAGCACACAAATTCACATTAGTATGGAACGAAATCATTTCAACATTCCGTGAAGAAGATATAATCAGTGATCATGAAGTTGAGTTACTCGAATTGCCTCAAAATAGTTGGAATGTTAGTGTGATCCGTTGGCCTTGTTTATTATTATGCAATGAACTGCTTCTTGCTCTTGGTCAAGCTAAAGAATTGGTGGATGCCCCTGACAAATGGCTTTGGTATAAAATGGCGAAGAATGAGTATAGAAGGTGCGCTGTAATCGAGGCTTACGATAGCTTGAGACACTTACTGCTCACGATAGTAAAGGTGAACACTCCCGAACACTCGATTATCTCAACTTTCTTTCAAGAAATCGATAACGCGATCAAAATCGAAAAGTTCACAAAGACTTTCAACATGCTTGCACTTCCGAAAATCCACGCAAAGACAATCATTCTTGTGAATCTTTTAACAAACCCCACGAAAGATCTAAACAAAATCGTGAACACCCTCCAAGCATTATACGAGATTTCCACACGCGATTTCTTTAAAGATAAACGGGGTATGGATCAATTGAAAGAAGACGGATTAGCCCCTCACTTGTCAGATGCCGGGCTTCTTTTCGAGAATGCTATCGAACTGCCCGATTTGGATAACGAAAGCTTCTATCGACAAGCGAGACGATTTCACACGATTCTTACATCCCGGGACGCGATGAACAATGTCCCGGTGAACCTCGAGGCGAGACGTAGGATCGCGTTTTTTAGCAACTCGTTGTTTATGAACATGCCACACGCTCCACAAGTTGAAAAAATGATGGCGTTTAGTGTCTTGACACCTTACTACAATGAAGAAGTCGTGTACAATAAAGAACAACTTAGAACAGAGAACGAAGACGGTGTTTCCACTCTTTATTATTTGCAGACGATTTACGCGGATGAATGGAAAAACTTTTTACAAAGAATGAAACGCGAAGGGATGAAATCGGAATCGGAATTGTGGACGGATAAACTCCGCGAGCTTCGAATGTGGGCATCGTATCGCGGTCAAACACTCGCCCGGACCGTACGAGGAATGATGTATTACTATCGCGCGTTGAAAATGCTCGCGTTTCTTGATTCCGCCGCCGAGATCGACATCCGCGAAGGCTCCCGGGAGCTCACCTCCATGAGCCGCCAACACCGTGGCGGCGGTAGTGGCGGTGATGACGGTACGGTTTTCATGAAATACACGTATGTCGTTGCGTGTCAAATCTACGGTACACAAAAGTCGAAAAAGGACCCACACGCGGATGAGATTTTGTATTTGATGAAAAACAACGAAGCGTTACGTGTCGCCTATGTGGACGAGGTACCCGGGCGTGACAAAACCGAAAAAACCGAGTATTTTTCGGTTCTCGTGAAATACGATCGGGAATTCGAAAAAGAGGTCGAGATTTACCGGGTGAGATTACCCGGCCCGTTAAAGCTTGGGGAAGGAAAGCCGGAGAACCAAAACCACGCGATAATTTTCACCCGAGGAGATGCAGTTCAAACAATCGACATGAATCAAGACAACTACTTTGAAGAAGCGTTAAAAATCCGAAACCTTCTAGAAGAATACCGACAATATTACGGTATCCGTAAGCCAACAATCCTAGGAGTCCGCGAAAACATCTTCACGGGGTCCGTTTCGTCACTCGCGTGGTTCATGTCGGCTCAAGAAACAAGCTTCGTGACATTGGGCCAACGGGTGTTAGCCAACCCGTTGAAAATCCGTTTACATTACGGACACCCAGACGTGTTCGATCGGTTTTGGTTCATGACACGTGGCGGGATTAGCAAAGCTTCTAAGCTAATCAACTTAAGTGAAGACATTTTCGCTGGGTTTAACTGCACGTTACGTGGCGGAAACGTGACACATCACGAATACATCCAAGTTGGCAAAGGACGCGATGTCGGATTAAACCAAGTCTCAATGTTTGAAGCAAAAGTCGCAAGTGGAAACGGCGAACAAGTGTTGAGCCGGGATGTATACCGGTTAGGCCATCGGCTCGATTTCTTTCGGATGTTATCGTTTTACTTCACAACCGTTGGATTCTTTTTCAACACCTTGATGATCTCTTTAACGGTTTACGCGTTTTTGTGGGGCCGGTTGTATCTCGCACTTAGTGGAGTCGAGAATTCCGTGTCTAGTAACGCAAACACAAATACCGCGCTCGGGACGATTTTGAATCAACAATTCATCGTCCAGCTTGGGATTTTCACCGCGTTACCGATGATAATCGAGAACTCACTCGAACTAGGGTTTTTATCTGCTATTTGGGATTTTATCACAATGCAGTTACAATTATCATCGGTTTTTTTCACCTTCTCGTTGGGCACCCGGGCGCATTACTTCGGGCGGACGATTCTTCACGGTGGAGCGAAATACCGGGCAACCGGGCGGGGGTTTGTGGTCGAGCACAAATCTTTCGCGGATAATTACCGGTTATACGCGCGAAGTCATTTCATAAAAGCAATCGAGCTCGGGTTGATTCTCACTGTCTACGCGGGATACAGTCCGGTTGCTAAAAACTCATTAACTTACATCGCGTTAACAATCTCAAGCTGGTTTTTGGTTTTCTCATGGATTATGGCTCCGTTCATTTTCAATCCTTCCGGTTTCGATTGGTTGAAAACGGTTTACGATTACGACGATTTCATGAACTGGATATGGTTTCGCGGGGGCGTTTTCGTAAAATCTGAACAATGTTGGGAAAAATGGTGGGATGAGGAGCAAGATCATTTACGGACAACGGGTATTTTCGGGAAGGTGATTGAAATCGTTTTGGATTTACGGTTTTTCTTTTTCCAATACGGGATCGTTTACCAATTGGGTATTGCGGGGAACAGTAAAAGCATCGCGGTGTATTTACTTTCTTGGATTTATATTTTGGTGGCGTTTGTGATTTACTCGATTATAACATACGCGAGGGATAAATACGGTGCTAAAGAACATATCTACTATCGATTGGTGCAATTTCTGGTTATAATTCTCGGGGTGTTGATAATTATTGGGTTGGTTGAGTTTACGGAATTTGAGTTTCTTGATTTGTTAACGAGTTTGTTGGCGTTTGTTCCTACTGGTTGGGGGTTTGTTTCGATTGCACAAGTTTTTAGGCCGGTTTTGGAGAAAACTAGGATTTGGGGGACAGTTGTTTCGGTGGCAAGAACTTATGATATCATGTTTGGAGTGATTGTTTTGAGTCCAGTTGCGTTTTTGTCATGGATGCCTGGGTTTCAATCCATGCAAACGAGGATCTTGTTTAATGATGCGTTTAGTCGTGGGTTGCAGATTTTCAAGATTATTGTTGGGAAGAAATCTAAAGCATGAGGTAAATTTTATTATTTTGATAGTATTATACAGTTGCTTCTATACTTGTTGAAGTTTTTCACATGTGAATTTTCTTTGTGTTTTGTGTAGGAACAACTTTGTATGGTGTGTATAAAGTAAAGTGCAGTTTTGTGGATTTTCGGTTTCTGTTAGTTATGCGAAAAGATGTATGTTTGTTTCTGAATTTTTTACATAGTTTAATTTCTGTAAGGGACTAGTTTTGTTTAGAAATGAAAATAATTGGTTGATTTTTGTGAAAATGATTTGCAGGTTTTTGGGGATTGACATGAAGGGGAAGTAGATGATGATATGATAAAATAGAGAATTTTGGTATCTGTAGTGAATGCATGTCTTTGTTTTTATGAAAAGTGCGGTTTTGATACACCTATATTGGCTTTTACTGATTGAATGGTTTTTATGCTATGAAGACACCAAAAAACATCTTTTCATACAACAATTTTGGTCCGTGTGTTTTTTCTGAAAAGGTATTTTCTTCCTAATTTGGATCAAAACTAAAACTTTTGAACAAACTCAGGGAGCAAAAAAGAAATATTTATATGCGGATATTGTTGGTTGTTTTGCATCTTATTTGTATATGTACAAAAAAACAACATAAATTGCTACTTAGGACACAATCAAAAAGCACTACTGTAATTCACCTCAAAAAAAAAAAAAGGCGTTAGTTTTGGACATGAAAGTGGGCATAGTTGGTTGCACCACATCTACTGAAATTTGATACCAAACTGTTGACCATTTGACCAACAGCTTACTTAAACTGACTTGAGCTACTTTTCGCACTATTAATCATAGAAATAGAATCGCCCACTTCAACACCTTCCATATAAGCCCTATATGTTGACAAAAGTGTATGTGCACAGACTTCGAAAATGCCCAACAACACGCTCTTCAAAATGCTGCAAATGCAATAAAAATGTTATCTTAAAGTAAGATGCTACAATGAATGCTATATGATTGTTTTCAAGGACAAAATGAAAACATCTTCATTGGATTTTTTTCTCTCCAGTGAATCTGTTGTGGTACCCAGGTTCATTGAGGAAGGGTTTATCATTCAAAATGAGTGACTCCAAGGGACCAAGTGTTGAGAAGGCTAAGACAGACTTTTCCATATTCATATAAATATGGGTTTAGCCGAAGTCCACCAGTTTGGTATAACGGCGGTGTGTATAGGTAGTTAGGAGGAAAGTGAATATGGAATACAGAAGACCATCATGATATGGCGTGCCTGCGGGTCCTACAATCACACCCCTCAAAAGATCCACACTTGTTTCATATGCCCTCACAAATATACTATCTGGTCAAAGCAAGTCAAAAGTCAAAAAAAATTTACAGCATAATAGACAAGCTATTTAGGGATATGTGTCTGATGGGGATGAGAAGGACATTTATATCTTTTTACAGTCAAAATATGCACTCCAAACACAGTACAAACCTGTCTAAAAAATGGGGCCTAAAAATAACAATAAAGAAAATCAAGGAAAGAAAGTAAGCGGATAGTGTAAAAGGGTAAAATGGTAAAATTACCTGTTGCTCTTGAAAACCAACACTATTGAAGTGATGATCGAAAGAATCATCAACAATATCAAACCATTTAAACTTATCGAACAAGTTTTAACTGTTTAAACATTTTTTTTGCTTCTTCGGTTGGATCTTACTTTTCTGAGGTAGTCGAATTTATGTTTGGAGGGTCCGGTAAACTGCTAGAATCAGTGTCCTTCAAGGGTAAAACAGGAATTTTAGGAGTTGATTTGAGGTTGGAAGGTTGTTTAACCAGAAAAAAGACGCTTCTACCCCCGGAGGCAAATTGATATTATCAAATCGGGATTGAATGCTCAAGTAATGAGACTCGTCGTCTGACTCAAGAATCTCAAACATATAATCCCCCTCATAATCTAAATCAAAATCATCATCTACATCATCCCAATTATCCATCATCTCATCATCATCATCATCATCATCATCATCATCATCATGGTATAACATATCTGAGTTTAGAGATCCAGATGTGCCAACTTCACTAGTAGGCTGCATAACATCAAATTAGCAAATTCTAGAAAAAAAATTAGTAATCCAATTGAAAACAAATAAGTACGATTACAAATTTGATTACCGTGTTTCAGATGATATAATTATAATACTTGATTTTAACAAAATAGAAACAACAAAAAACTCTATTGAAAATTCGATTGCCAATTAATAGTAGTAATCGGAACATACTAGTAACAATTTGCGAAACCCAAGGCATTATTAAATGAGAAATTTAAATATTCTCCTACATTTTTTTCCTACTTATCTTGCTACCTACATGAAATGGTGATAAATGTCATATTTCGATCAAATTAATGATATTTTAAGACACTTATCATAATTTTAAATGGATAGGAAGATAATTAGGAAGAAAAGTAGGAGGATATTTAAATTCTCTTATTAAATTTAGGTCCACATGAACACATATTTATACAATTTTTATAAAATTTCCAAGTGTTACTTGTTTGTTAATCGAAGGGAGATGACAAGTCAAAAGAATTAAACATGCGTTAATTAAGTAAAACAAATGACTTAATTAATTGAACATCTGTGACTATATATACCTCTTCGTGTTTAACGTTCTTTACAATCGAATTATCGCACTCCATCAATATCGTTTTCAACTTCCATAGCAAGTGGTGTAATCAAATCAAATAAAAACCCTGGAATTTAAATAGAAAAACGCCAGGGAATTCTATGAGGAATTTCAAAATTCCATATCCGGAAAAAGGAGAGAATTTATGGACGTGTGGGTTGAATTATATTCGCGCTCGTCGCTAACCTACGCATGCAGCCTAGCGGCGCTGATTTTTTTCCCCTTTGCTTGCTCATCAATCTAAATTACAAACATTTACGTTTACTATTTTGTGCAAAAAACCACTATATAAAACTTTGAATTATGTACAAACCAATGTATATTACACGAATTGTCTTATACGTTTTGAAGTAATTTATGTGTTTCGTCTATATTTTTATTATTTATTTATTAATTAATTCGGATCATGCCAATGTATATATTTTGTCACGTAAAAAAAACTATTTTACCCATTACCATTTTGTTTTCTTATTTAAATAAATATTAAAATAATATAATCCATAGGGACCTTTCCACAACCCACTAATCTCTCTCTATTTTTATTATTTATTTATTTATTAATTCGGATCATGCCAATGTATATATTTTGTCACGTAAAAAAAAACTATTTTATTCTTTACCATTTTGTTTTCTTATTTAAATAAATATTAAAATAATATAATCCATAAGGACCTTTCCACAACCCACTAATCTCTCTCTCTCTCTCTCTCTCTCTCTCTCTCTCTCTCTCTCTCTCTCTCTCTCTCTCTCTCTCTCTCTCATACACACAAATTAGAATAGAGGTCCAAATCAACATGAACCATATCTCGTCCATGGGAACATAGGTGCTGTTTGTTTTTTGGAAAAACTTCTTCAAACCTTTTATTGCTGCGCGGCGCAGCACACGTGCAACATTTTTCATCTCGCATCTGTTTGTTTTTTATAAGTTTTAAGTCAAAAACATTTACGCGTGTTCTGTTTAGCGCAACACTTGTACTGCCTCTTCTAATCTCTTCCAACATCTTCTTCTTCTTTTTTTATTGCTGAAATTTTGATTATATGTTGTTAAAATTTTAATTCACATTTTTTTTTTCGTTTTTTCTTGTTGAATATATTTTTCGTTTTTTTATATTCAATAATGATAATTTCTTGATGAAATATCATTATTTTTTACTAAAATATCTTTATTTTTTTGTTGAAATATCATTATTTTTATTGAATTATCATTAATTTTTACCAAAATGTTATACATTATTAAATTTTACGTATTAAAAGCAATTTTCGGTTTATAAAATTAGTTTATTTTAATTTTTTAATATCTGTAGCAGTATGTAGATGTTCAAAAAAAAAAAAAAAAACACGCTTCTTATTACTGTAGCCGTTTGGTCCACCTCTTTAACTACAGAGGGTTGCAGAGGTGGTCTGCAGACTTCATTAATTTTTGCTTCAGAAAATCAAACAGCACCTTAATATGTTTATCTCTCCTCCATGCCTGCAAAACTTATATATTCATCTTCAAAGAGAGGTATAATATTTTCATTGTTATCATCTTGGGCGAACTATATCTCTCCCCTATCCATGCGTGTGAACTCTGGTAGAAGAGATGAAGGCAGTTTCCAATAGAGGTGTTCATTTTGATGGATCAATTCGATCCGATACAATCAAGTGAATCCAGATTGATTTTGATTTTCAAAATATAGATCTAAATAGTCTAAAGTAAACTTAAATCCAATCCAAAATAAACCAATGGTGTGTTTGATTTGGCTTCTAATCGGATCGAAAGATAGACTGCGTCCAAAAAATCCAATTAACATGTTTGATTTGGCTTCTAAATGTTGGACTTAATCTATGAAAGATCACTGATTCGGTCCCCTCTCCAGCATTGAAGGTTAGGGACAAACATTGGACAAAAAACGAGAATTCCCATTATGGCCTAATCCATTGTCGCCTCTACATAAAACAAAAACGGGAAAAAATTGATTTGATATCTCCTCTTACTCTACAGACGGAACTCCACAGCCTCTGTAGTCTTTCCTCCGACCACCCTTCCTCCGACTCAGGTACAAAAACCGATTCCGTAGATTAGCCTATTCATTTTTTCTTTCTCTTTTTTTTCTTTCTCATTACTTTGTGCCACCGAACATGATTTCGTGCGAAAAATATGTGTATTTCTCATAAAAACATATTTACTTATGTGTATGAGAAAAATGTGTGTATTTATGTGTATTTCCACATGAAAACAACCCTTTATGTGTATGTTTGTGTGATTACAATGTATGGTCCATATATATATATATATATATATATATATATATATATATATATATATATATATATATATATATATATATATATATATATATATATATATATATATATATATATGATTACGAATTGAAGCAGGAAAAATGAGAACAACACATGAATATATAAATTATAGGTGCCAACTAGTTTATCTCTTGGTTTAGCCTTTTTCTAGTTTCATAAATAAGTAATAATCAAATATAGCACATAATTGTTAATGACACATAACTAAATACAGGTTGATACATATATACATATACAAGTAGCAAAATTTTATTTTTGTGCGTATATTTGTATGTATCTCTGTATATTTGTGTGCATTCGAAATCAGCCCCTTATGTGTATGTTTGTTTCTTGATCTTGCTCTCTATGTAACATTTTTATCATTCATTTATTCCTTAGACATGACAGAAAAAAGAGGTAGAGCCAGGTTGTCTTTGGATATTGTGAACAAAAGTTTTCTTGAAACACGTATACAAGGACTAACAAGTAACGATCGAGAGGGTAGTGGCGTAACGGTCAAGAGGGTAGTTGCATGAAAGGAATCTCATGGGATGTAGCCGAAATACTAAAAAATGAACATGACTTTGTAGTTGACAAAAAACAAATGAAATAATGTTATACGTACTTGAAAAGCAAGTATACAGTTTGTTTGAAGTTCAAAAAAAATCTAGGAATCTTTACAATCCTAAAACAAACACGTCTTATACGACAAAAGAAAATGGAAAGCGGAGGAGAATGTATTCTTTTATTTTAAAACACATGATTATTTTGTTTTATAAGTTTGATAATATTAATAAAATTTTCAAACAATTGAACAATATGGTTAACAAATTAAAAAATATGCCCCTCCTTTTCCCAGATCTATGCAGGTAATTGTTTGATGAGACAATCTCCACCGGTTGTCATATTTAGGGACCATCTTCGACAATTATTCATCCCACCGAAGTGTTTACTACAAATGATTTTGAGGATATCGAGATGGAAGACCCATGCATATCTCAACATCAGCCTCAGCACTACCCCTACCTACAAGTGCCTCACCTAAAAAGTAAAAAAAATCCTCTGGTCAGTCAAAAAAGAAGGGAGGAAAACGAAATGCATCCAAAAACACATTAGATGATGACTTAAAAAAGTTGGTAAGGAAATTGTCCAGGCTGCACAGACGTTCGCAACAGACAAATAATCTTAACAAGGAGATGGATAATTGTATGGAGAAGTTGGAAGGCTTGCAGTGGGGAAAATTTTATTCAAAATACACCACTATTCTTATCATATTTGCTGAAAATGTTTGTAATAAGGAAATTTGGATTACTTGGTTGACTTTAATATGGCTTTAAGATCTTTTTGGGTTCATGTGTTATGAATTTACGTTATGGTTCATGATATGGATTTTTATGTTTAGGATCGTTGGGTGTTATGGATTATTATGAGTTATGTTTAGGATTGTTATATATTATCTATTTTTACGTTATAGATTTATGTTATGAATTTATGTAATTTATATTTAACATTTAACCGGTCACATATAGATAAAGAAGATGAATTTTTTGCTTTCCTTATGCTATTGTGGTCTTGGTTGATGTTGGTCTAGCAAAGGCAAAAAAGAAGTGGAAGAATAAGAGGTAACGAACCGGCAATAAGTGGGCATAACACGTGATGAACAAACTCGCTATAATGGGAGAGGAAAATGTGAATGTTATCAAAATGTAATAGGAATTTTTTATTTCTATATGATATTCAACTTTGTATGGGTTGGATAGGAGGACATAACACATGACTTAAAAGTTTTGAAAGAAGTTGTATTTAATTCGACTTTCGAATTTCCATTCCCTCCACCAGGTTTGTAATCTTTCTATAACTTTTATTATCTATATTATTCATATAATAAGTATTACCTTTTATACCAACACTCATATATATAATAAATGTGTCACTCATCTACAAATAAATATTACATTTGTCGCGCCGCGTATACCAACTTCTATGGATTTATGGCTCCCTACCACAATATTAGGTATATGTTAGCCGATTTTCGAAGAAACAAGGCTTTAACTAATGAAGAAATGTTCAATAAAGCTCATGTACAACTTAGAAATGTTATTGAACGTGCTTATGGTGTACTAAAGGTGAGATTTCCGATCTTAAAACAAGTTATGCCTTATCCTTTTCCCGGTGCATAAACATAGTCATTGCTTGTGTTGCGGTCCATAATTTTATAAGGAAATACAAAGTTCAAGGCGACTTATTTATGAACTTTGAACATAACATTGTGGTTATTCCTGACGTAGAAGGTGGATGACGTGAGGGCCAACATATACAAGACAAAGAATGGAGTTCAGAAGTCGTTCAATATATAACTACTTTGCATGACCAGATTGTTAATCAACTACTTTCAAATGGTTAACGCTAAATTTATGCAAATTATTATGTTTTTTTTTTTTTTTTTTTTTTTTTAATTTTGTAAGTCAATTTATCTTTGGATTTTAAATGATATATGTTTAATTTAGATTTTATTTGAGTTTGTATTTTTATAATCATTTTAACTAGCATAAGAGATAACATAAGGATAATATGATTATTTTTCATCATTTACCATAATCAATTAGATGAATAACCAAACAATATTGTTTAAGTCACATGTCGACTCAATATTCAAAAAGTGGGGAATTTAAAAAATTTAACTTGAATATTAATGAGCTCTAAATAAAAGTAAATTGAATAACTATTAGAAAAAAATACATATTCTAATTTAATATTGTATAGATAGAAAGCTTTTGATAAGTACATACTAATTTTTTATAGGGTAATATTTTCTAATCTATTTAGAAATATAATTTAGTAAATTAATAAATAATTAAAAGATGTGTATTAAAAACAAAAAAATACAGGATACATAAATAATAAAATTTTAATCGTCTTTTTTGAACTATTTGGTTATTATTTTATAAACCAAA